AAATATATATAATTAAATATATATAAAATATATAAAATATATAATTAATTAAAACTAACACAAAATATAAAACTAGTACGAAACTTACTTAAAGTTAAGTCCAAGTGGACGGCTTTTCTCACTTATGGTGTATGAGTCATCGGAAGTCTTATTATATAATATCTTTGTACAAGTAGCCATTGGATTAAATCGTTGAACAACATACCATTCACCTAGAAACTGTATAAAACATATTTAATTATTATCATTTATTTTACCCCTTTGACACAGAATTTTTATAAAACATATTTTTCATATTTATTTAATTCTTTTGTATTAATGTCGGTTAAAATAAGGGAAAAATATGATATTTAGCACTATAATAATTTATGGTTATGAAATACAACATGAATCATTGGTGTCTTTTTAGGCATTAAAGGAAAAATCTTCCAAAGACGTCTCACTTCCAAACAATTTTTTTTTTTTCAAATTTGCACTTATTTGCAGTTATTTAGATACAAGAGAAACAGTTATTTATCATTGATTTTTTTTAATTTACAAATTAATTTAGTAATGCATTTCATTTTGGAATTTGAATGGAAAAAAAATATTCAAACTACTTTTTTGGATTTTATATTTTAGTACAAATCTAATTTCGATAATCTAGCAGATTTTTTTATGCAGCTATCATACTGTTTTTTAAAAGTATGAAAATAAATTTTTGTTTGTAATTAGAGCGTCAGAAAGACAAAAAAAATTTATATATATATATAAATAAGGGTCCTCTACAAATGTCTGGCTGGAATAGGAAGAAAAGGTTGAGAAAGGGTTTGACAATTTATGACAAAGAGACTCGAGTAAAAAGAAGTGTAGCATCACATGTTTTGGTTAATAAAAACTTTAAAATCAGCATATTTAGTATTTTTGGATTATTTATTCATGTACGTTTTTCACCTTAAATTTATTTTTAAAAAAAATAACAATAACAATGTAGATTTCTTCCGATTTTATTTTGAGTACTCATTCATTATATTTTGTATGTCATATTTTTTGTAGTAAACCCTAGCTTTATCTGCTACAAGATCAGTGCACTTATGCTCATTGTTATTACTGTTATACTCATAAACTCTAAGCAGTCTTATGTCATACTTCACTAAATAAACAGTATATGTTTGTCTAGTGAAGCATGACATAAGACACGGGGGTTAGAATCATATGGTAAATTGGGACATTTTTTTGACGAAAAAGAAGGGATGTCAAAAATTTTGGTAAAAGAAGTGTTACATCATTTATGAACATTACCCTATTTAACCTTTTTATTCTTCTCTATAAATTTTATGAACACAAATGAGTCAAAATACTAAAACATTTCAAAAGGACTGAGATTTCTAATAAAATAAAACATTTGCATAATTTTGAAATATAACAACATAAATAAGTTATTCCTACATTTGTTAGAAATTTACCCTATAATAAAATAATATAATTCTCAATCATAGAAATAAATTACGTTAAAGATTTTTAATGATATTTTGTGATAATTGAATTACATTTACTTCATACATTCCTATTTTTCATCAATATGAGTGATCTCGATACTGATGTATTAGATTAATTATTTATTTTATCTTTTGAGTATTAATTTCTTCTTGAACATGCTTTAATTTGCATGCTCAAGCAGATTCATTTATGGCAAAACTTTAAAAAATATGCATTAAGTGCAGTGATTACAGAACACATTGTTTATCTAACAGCTTTAGATAAATACTAAGTTTACAGGAATACATTCATAAATTTATTCGCAAAAAAATTTCTTATAGTAAAAATCGTTTTAAAAATGTGATTCACTTAAATTGGTTCAAAATTTTAAATGCAGAAAATTATAGCACGTTTCGTTTCATACAAAGCTCGCAAAAAAGTATGCCTTATAAATATTGCATACTTTATTATTATTGTACAAGTCAAAATAGTAAGAGAAATTATTGCTATTTTCCGTGTGAAAATAAGAACGTTGGCAATCTAGAGAAACTGAGTTAGAATCAGTTTTTCTGTTTAGTTTTTTTTTTTTTTTTTTTTAAATCTGGCTCTTTATAAAATAGATGGGAATATATTGCTTACTGAAGTAAGATATCACAACACGTAAGAGCTAATGCTACATTAAGTAATTAATTTTTCTCCTGTAAATTTCAATGTCAATAATTATTGACTGCTACTTTTCTGTTCGAAAATAATTTCGTTGTTGATGTCAAACGAATGTTTTTCTTTCATTGCATAACAAATAATTGCATAGCAAAGGTTAAAAGCCTTCTTTGTTGCATTCGAATTGATTCTAGATAAAAGGGTAACTTTTTATATTTGTTTCCTATTTTCCTGTAATGGTATGCGTTTTACAGATTGTTCACACATCTTAACGTTAAAAAAAATAGAACATACTAAACAAAAAAACAATAAGTTAACTCTCATTATTGTAGTAATCTATTTTTAAAGCGAGATGTGGTAATATATTATTTATCTAAATGGGGAACGTTACTGCCCATCGAGCTTCTTTTCATTCAAATGTCAATTTTTTCCCTTCAATTAATCTCAAATAGAATGATTTTAATTAAGATGTGAATATTGCAGCATTTGTGTAATAAAATGTTGATAACGAAAATGAAAGACAGTGAGATATAACTGACAATTCATAGTTATTAAACAAGAATCGTTGCCTGAAAGAACAATGCATTTTCATTGTTAAACTATGCTTTATCCGATGTTTTTATATTCCTCGGTAGTAGGATTTTCGTCGTTTATGTGAACCGAAACGCCCACCCAGATCATGCAATTTGCTGTCATAGATTTTTTTTTTCTTTTGAGTCTAAGGTTTATTCTAACAGACGTACAATCGCTTACTTCTTTAATCGAGAAATTCAGTACGGTAACAACGAAATTCGAACAAACGAAACAAGTAACAGAACAATTCAAAATAAGAAGCGCATACGTTCTATCAAATACATTGTAGCCATTTATTCGATATACCATTCTATACATAATGTCATATTATACACTTCATTAATCATTAATAAAGAACATAATTTTGCATTAAACACATGTGTTTTCTATCTTGTTTAAATTTTGATACGTCCTACATTTTAATTATAAAAAAATTTTTGCGACTTAAATATAAATATTGTTTATTTCGACTCGTTAATGCTCACAAGCGTTTTGTTCTTAAAAAGATGAAATATTCTCGGAACTTTATATTGCTTCATAATAAAAAATATGTAACGATTTATTATAATAAATCGTTGCAATAATCGTTACATATAAGCATGTAACGATTTATAAATTTTTACTGTTATTACAAATTTGGTTCTTAAAACAAATAATAATGAAAAGCGAATAATAAAATATATTTCTGTTAGAAATATTTTTCCTTCGAAATAAGAATATGGATGCAGTAATGTGTGATTAGAAATTAATATTTTATGTTTTATGTTATTAGTGGTTAAGTTTTCTTTGTGTTTGTGTGTATCTGTAGTAATAAAGTTCGTTCAAAACCGACTTGGTAATTTTTGGATGAATGCTTTTGGGTTAACACCAAGAAGAATATTTTATTCAAGATAGTATTTTTTTTCTGGAAAATCGTCCATTTTACTGCTAAAATACTTGTGAAATGCAAATATTAAAATATATTTCTGTTTCAAGCATATTTACCCCTTAAAATTATTTTTAAAACTAATTGTTTAGTAAAACAAATAAAAATCCTCTTAAATAGTTAAATATGTTAAACTATTTAAGTTATTATTTAAGTTACTAAGTTAAACAATTCAACTATATGTTAAATTGTTATATTATTATTAAAAAAAAACTTACTTGATCAAAATCCAAGTTATTCATAACAACAACTCTCGGGCAAGCGCCTAATTTAAAAGTATTGCCGTGACATCCCGCAACAATACACAATACGAACGCGAACACTCCTAAGCTCTGCATTTTGTCCAAAGTATTCCGAAAAAACTGAAAACTCAAGAACTCTCTCAGCTATATATGAGGGCAATATATTTCCAGTCTTCGAGATATGTCGTAACCGATGTGTCACCTTAATAAATATATAACTAGACAAGTAAAGTTGGGTGTAGTCGAGAAAACTTAAAGAGAACTTCAAGGCTACTTTCCAGCATTGACTAATTGTCGGTAATGAATAAAAACAAAACCTGTTTCTTGAGTCACCGCAAAATGGTGATAATCTTTTGTGTTAATATTAAAAAGAAAGAACTAAGAAAGCAGGAAATTAGTTTCCAACGTTCGTGAAATACTGCTTTAATAAACTTGTTTATTGCAGGAGAAAGTAGAAAGATAAATACCAGCCTATTTTAATATCGGATATTCCCTGCTGTTATCGTAATGTTTACGGCCTGCACTCGGTTTTGGAATCAATATTTGATATTATGAGATGAACTTTGTGAGTGTCTCGGTTGTTTGAATTATGTTATTCATAAGTCCAGTGCATAATACAAAGATCATTAAATAAAGGAAACTTTGTTCGTGGGATTTTATGACATCATAAGAGAGAGTGTGACTTGCGTTTGTTTACATTTCAAAACTGGAGCACTCCTAACCCATGGTGTTGCCTCCAAATGTTACAATAAATTTACTTTTTAAAATGAAAAAAAATTAGTTTTCTAAAACAAATGTTATATTTCATAAAATTATTAATATTAATTTTTTAAATTTTACGTGATTAATTTTAATTAAATTTTTCAAAAAACACATTTTTTTTAATTTTTCACATGAAATCAGTTTGTTTTAGGGTTTTATACACCGATTATACAGCGTTCTAGAACTGTTTATCCCTCCAAACGAAATTTAATAGATATTGTTTCCTTCAATATCAAATTTGATTTAAAAAATTGTATAAAGCGGAATTTGGTTTCAATAAAAATTTAACACTTAGTACAAGGGAGTAGGAATTGGATTATTTGCATTTTGCACTAATTATGCACGTAACACAATGCAATCCTTTATTTGAAAACACTCCAATATGAATATGGTCTATGTGAAAACTGTAAATGGCTGGAATAGGAAG